GCATATTAAATTATTGAATAGGTAGTGAACAATCATGTATTTAATGTTAGGGTAGGTAGGTATTCAAACTTATATTTCTAAATTCAAAAGTTCCATCAACAAGTTGTGAACTTTTAACATTGAACTATGCAGTATCGTTGGCTATATTTGCAATTTTTCTAAAAAAAAGAAGTCAGTTGCTTCCGCGCTTCCGCGACGTTCTATTCTTAACGCCTTTTCTTGTTTTTATTTCCGCTAAAGCTCTGAAACCGCGATAAAGTTTAACAATTAACTGTTTCTAAATTGGATACCAGCTGCTCATTTTGGAGTTACTTTATTTTAACACCACGGCGGTGAAATGCTATGCTGCGCTAGGATTCTTTCGATACTTATATGTGTTATCAGCGACAGTTTTTTTCTTTTACATTACATACGTTATAAGGTTCAACTCTAAAGCTGGAAACAGAAATCTAAATATATTTAGGCTCTCCCATGTCTTCCGTTGCTTGCCGTACACTCGGCAACACAGGCCATACTATCAGTCACTTTTAAACCCCTGTACAGTATGTAGAGGAGTCACCATATTTATATTCATGTAATAAGAGCGAAAAAGACGTGCGTTTCGTATCGGCGATCCGAGCGGAGGTTTTTTCTGACCGGTGGCTCCTTAAACAGGCCCTGTGGTCCCGTTCTCCGTCAGTTATCCGTCCGGAACAATTAATGCCAAATAACTAATAGTCATGCGAATGAAACTTCATTCTTGGCATAATCTTTTAATTTGGATCGAGTATTACTTACTTGAGAGTAATTATTTCGCACGATGTCGAACGGAGAATGAGAATAGACCCCCAGGCGTGATGGTATAAACGCTATGGAGAAGAAATAATGTGCAATTTTCAACAAAGAAATTACAATTTTTATATGTTTGGCTATGTTGATAGTCGCTATTGACTGACTTCAACCTTTCACAATTGTTGAAGGCAAAATACGCTGTAAAATAATAATAATTTACATAGTTTTTAGGGGTCACAAGTACTTTTATAAGCCACGCAACATGGAAAATACACACATAGACAAATTACACCCAAACTCACGTGAGCAAGAAATGCAGGCCATACAAATATTTCTCCCGGCCCGGGAATCGAACCCGAGACCTCAGCGTCGCGGTCCAGTGTGGTAATCATTCGGCCACAGAGGCAATAAAAGTAACCGTAATACATTTTACGCGGCAAAAATCGGGATACCTCATAACACTGAACGTGCATAAAGATGGTCAATGATAAGGTGCACTCTTCTCCTTAGTAAAAAAATTGATGATTTTTTTAGTGCCATTTTACTTTAATAAAACGGTATTGTGTCGAGAAATGCACTGCTTATCATATTCCTTATTATTATACTCCTTACCATAACAAACGTAATCGATATTTTTCGCCAAATTGAGTTATTAACATGTATCAGAAATGAGCAACACAAGATCTACAACCCCCTAGAAGCGATTTTTTTATATCATATAAATTTTTTTTATTGCTAAGCAAAATCAGCGTTAATGATATTTTTCAAAGAAAAACAAACTTTAGGTACGTGCCAAAAGTGTGGAAAGTTATCACATTACAAATGCGTTAGTTAAGACAGATTGAGTGACCTTTGACCTTTCATCGACAGATCTATGTGCTTTTATACAAATGTACACATCAAAAGTGTCTAATGATCACTTGACATTTTTTCCAATTACTGAAAATCAGGTTTTTTATTTTGTTTTTTAACACTAATAGGTTTTTTGGTCAATTTCGTAATTTAAAAAATAGGTATCTAACTGAGTAAATAATTTAATAAATTTATATAAATAATTTTATTTAACTTTAATAGGGTAATCAAATATTTTTTTTTAAATACCTTGATACCTATACACTTTTAATGTGTAATGTAGCATAATAACGTTAGAAATGATAATAAACAATTATTTTCTATATCTTACTCATAACTTAATGATAAATAGGTGTCTATATTTACTGGACCTTCGCGGTTCATAAATAATAACAACAAATCAATCAGATTAATAGTGACTATTTATTTGTTTATTGCAATGCTATTTTGTCTATTATTTCCAAATAACATGTTTGCTCCTTCCGTTGAATATATTTTGAGTGGCTACAGTTGATTTGCTCTACACTAATGAGGTAAGGAAAACCTGAACCAAATATCTAGAATCATTGATGCAAAATGACAATTTTTTAGGAAAGGTCACAAGGAAATAAATTATATGTACATTAAAAGTAATAATAATATATCTTCATTTATCTTCTCAGTACAAAACAAAGTAGCATTACGGTAGAGATACGTATTATTACATACGCTTAGACTAATGTACTGTGGGAGACTGGAGCCCAGACTAAATAGCCTTGGAATATGGGTCTCCAGGCACCTAACCCCGATTTTTTTGGAATGAATGTGACATGAAAGTGAGTCGTTTAGCACTAAAAAAATTTGATCAATTTTATTCATGTTTATGAACAATACACGCTTGACCCAAAATTTTACTATGCCAAAATTAAACCTAAGAACTCGACATATGCCAAAGTTGTTTTCACAAAAAAAGAGCTTAATGGTTCCTAAGACAGTTTCCTCGTATCTTTTAAGGTTTCGGATTTCCCCATACTGTTCCATTTAAAAAACACTGTATATGTAATATATAAAGTGTAGTTTATATAGATAAATCTGGTTATTTTTCCAATGCGATAGCACCTCTTGAACGGCATCAACGCCCCCAATTGCTTCCGAGGCCCCTACCGCCCTAGGTCTCTTCAGCGCCCACTACCAGATAGGGACCACTTGAAAGCAAATACCTACTGTTGTAACGCAAAATTGTCAAATTGAGAATTAACGAAACAAACTAATTTATATATAACTAAATATTGTAAAATAATCATATTATTCGCAATAAAATCCAATCAAGCAAGCAGTAGAGCTCCTTGTAAGAGTTCGTCCCGGAAGTATTGCCACTTTGCCTATTTCTGCCGTCTAGCAGTAATGTGACCATTACTGCGTTCCTGTTTGGAAGGGTAAGGGTGCTGGTGAAATTACAGGCACATGGGACTTCAATGTCAATTTGTCTCAGGGTGACGGGCGCAGTGGCAGTGCCCATAAGATCTTTGCAATTTAAAGCTCTGAATGGCACTGCAACTGTCATGGATAGGCGTGTCGCTTATCACCAGGCGCACCGCTTGTTCATCTCGCCACTTAGTATCATAAAAAATAATAATAAAAAAATCAGTATTTTGTTTTAGATTTTCAAATCGTGTCTGCATTTATTGTGGAGATGATCTATTCATGTATTTAAATGTTAATTTGCTTATCTAACTAATAATAAACTAAATGCCATAAATTTGCGCCGTTAGCTTGTGCAAAAATTACTTGTATTTATGAGGTTTATTTCGTCTCACAAAGTACTTTTGTATTTCAAATCGAAAGGATGTCGTGTCACGTCCCCTACCAACGTCATTATCATTCATAATGTTTAAAGGTTTAGACCCACGATTAAGGCTTTGTTATTTGTCATTTAGAAAATCATGGTTTCTCAATACACCTTAAACATTTAGGCAAATTCAAAGTAAAAACAACTCGTTGTTCTTTGCCATGATTCTTTGTTATAAACAAGGATTGGTATCGAAAGTGTCTTATTCTTTCTATCTTTGTTAAAAGAAGGTTTCTTTGTTTTTCATGATTACGTAACAGATATAATTGTAAAATCACTGTTTTTAGTTTTTTAAACAAATTTCTATTTTGAGAAAGCTATTCATTAAATAGGAGTAATATAATGTT